TTACTCTGTATTTAGGTTATGAAGTGTTTTCCTTTACTGCCTTTCAGTGCATAAAGGACAAAGGCAGCAGTGTACCTATTTTACGGGTAGGTAACGTGAGCTGCTAAGGATACAGAGCCTGCCCAGGATCATCTGACTGGTTGCACTGCAGCAGAGTAAAAGTAAAAGCACAGTGCTTATATTTATCCAGAGAAAAAGCATTTTTAAAAATTTATGTGCGTACGTGGGAATAATTCACTGATCTCATTTAACACTGGGAGTGATGTAAAGTGGCACAGCAAATGTTACTGAAAGAAAATGAGCCTCGCGCAGATCACTTTCTCTGGTTCAGAGGACTGGATGGAGCTACTCCCCTGACCAAAGCCGTGGGATCAGAGTGGTCTCTGGCCTCCTCTTGCAGCAGCTCTGGAAGTGAACGTGAGCATTGCCTTGTAGTAGACCCAGCTGTAGTTTGCTTTGGCACTGACTCCAAATTCTCGTTAAATAGGGGTCAAGACTTCATAGACTGCCTGTGTAGATTTGATTAGCTCTAAATCTGAGGAATGCTCCTTTGTCACCTCTGTTATTTCTAATATATATGGACTCTTAACCATTTCTCTTGTATATTTTTGAGCCTTTTTTCACAGGCTGTGATGAAATTAATACATGTGTTAGCCTCATTTTTGCCATAATGAAGTTGCTCATTTTATATTACATGCATGCAGCCACATTTTGACAGATTGAAGATTTGTTATTGCCTACCTTACATAGCATTCTGATACAAGAACCACATGAATCTAATCCCATGTGCATGGAATTAAATGCATCATTTTTTTCTGTTCATATTTTTATCTCCCCAGCCCTTGCAAGAAGATGATCAAAGCAGGGCTGTGCATTTCAGATCCAAAGAAGTTAAGACCCTCCTAGAGCCAACTAGCATGGATCCTCTTTAACTTGGTCTTAACTTGGTGTGCGTCATTGTGATGCTAAAAATGTAATAGATGTTCTCCAATCTGAGCAGCCTGGTACTTTCAAGGACTGGTTGTTCATAGCAGGTGCTGCATCTCTGAAGATAGTGCTCCTAGTGGGCTTCTGGTGTGTGTATTTGGTTGACTGGATCCAGAAAAGCTCAGTAGCTAAGTTTTTTGGATAACTTTTGGGTTCTGCTTAAATTTCAGGTTATGCATTCTGTCTGTTCCACTCAAATTGGATGAATTCCCAATAGCTACACCTCAGAGGTGGGGAATTTTCATGAAGATCTGCCTCATGGCTTTCATTGCACCTTTTAGACAGACTCAAGCTCCATTCTACTCTGATGCTGACTTTAGGGCTTTACAAGTTATAATATTAAATAAAAAAAAGAAAGTGTATTGCTTTTTCTCACAGTGCATCATGGCATGTGGGGCTGGGTTTTATCGTCTTCAATCTGCAGTAGTGATGAGCCTGCATGTTAAATGAGTATCATTTAGTTCTGTGTGTATTCAGTCTGCTGTACTGAGCCACAGTCCAGAACTCAGTATTTGTAAATTCTGAGATAAATTAACACTTGGTGGAATATAGTTGAGGTCAGCTATGTCTCTCATGCAATAAGACATCTTTGGCTGCAACAGCAAAGCTGGTGTATCATGATAAGAATTCTCCTCTATCCAGATGGAAAAGTTATATGTGCTCCAGTGCTTAAGGATTTGAAGCATTCTGAGGTTTGTTGGTGGTGATGCATCTTCGTGAATGAGCAGCAGTGCACTGGCAGCAGCTCAGAGGTGTGTTTTTACTGGAGTGAGTTAAGTGTGGGAGTTGCCCTGTCATAGCATGAGGTCCTGGTGCTCAAACAGATGCACAGAGTGAGTTTGGGGCACTCTGCATCTAGTTCTTTGCTTCTTCCAGGTGTATAGCTGCAACAGTCCTCAGAAAATCACTTTTAGGAACTTAATGCTATCAAGATTTCTGTGATGAAAAAAAAAGGGAGATCTGTGATGGTTCTCCACATCTGCATTCTTTCTGCTTCCTTCATGTTCCATTGGTGAAGGCTGGATTTACACTGCAAGTGAGGAAAAAGATCTTCTCAGAATAGAGGCAGGATGTGGTCTGTTGTAAAGTCCACTGTTAATTGCCTGTGGCAAATCAGTCAGCTGCCAGAATGATCTGTGTAATAAGGCCTGAGATATTGCTCAGATCCGTTCTGATCAACCCTGTGAACTTCTAAAACTTTTCACTTACTTGCAGTGGCAAGTGGGCAGTAGTGGGCAAGGCAGATGGAATGGGACAAATGGAAAATACAGCAAATTTTGGAACTTTTACAGTTAAGATTTGTAGTGAATTCACCACCATTTCTTTGCGTTGGCTGCCTGGTACTTTTACTGCTCTTTCTCTGCATGCTTTTCCTCCTGTCCCTTTCTCCTCAGTGGTAGCAATGGGGCAGATGCTGCCTCTTATGTCTTCATCTTCCCAGACCTTGTGCTAACGTAATCTCATCATTCCTTTCTTCCCTAGCAGCATGAACCCAGTCACATTTATCTCACCTCCCCTTCTCCCACTCTGTACATTCTTTAGATATGTATATACAGTGATGTGCTATCTTGATATATGGAGAAAAATACAATGTATACAGTGTATTATATAACATCAATATTGATCTGTATGTATGTGTACATATAGATTTAGACATTACAATATATATATGTAGGATGTCTTATGTTTCATTGTACACAATTCTTGGTATGGCTATTTTCTGAGATGAAATAACACGTTCCTCGTTTTTAACTGGCCTGTCAAACTCTGTAAGGAAAGCTTTGTAACGGTAACAACAAAAAAAAAAAGCTTCATGAAATTCTATTAGGATCAACTGTGCTTTGAACTGTTAAAAACTGTCATTTCTGTTGAATGTTTTCCTCGGGAGATATTTTGAATCTGTTAAAATAGTATCTAGTCAGAAAAAGTAGCAAGAATAGCATCTGCTATACTTGGAGGGTTTGAGAACATGGATCTGAGTTCATGCTCTGCAGGTCACTGCCTTCCTCCACTGATGCAGGCTGCAATGTGAAAAGTTCTTAATACAGACTGAACTAGAGAAGAGGCAGAAGCAAATGGCTGTGTTAATAGTTTGCTGTTTTCCTTTAGCGGGACCAGCCCTGGAAAAATAAGCACCTAAATCTCCCCTTTCCCCCAGAATAGATGACTTTGTAATTAATATATTCTTTTTTTTCTTAGCTAGGAAATACCAGTGCATTTCTTATTCACGTAACTCAGTTCTTGTCATCTCTGCAAACACTTTATGATGCAGACTTTGGATTTAAATGTTCTTAGCAACAAATTATTTTTTCCCTAAAACATAGTTATTTCTTTTTGGGCACATATGACACAAGGCTTAGAATTGCTGTATCTGTGCTACTGATGTGTGCCCAGTACGTAGAGAAGACTGAAAATTGCAGCAAGGAAGGAGGGAACTACTTGTTTTCTGTGCCCACGTTGGATAAGACAAAAAGTGCTGGTCTTAAAATTGCAGCAAGAAAGGTTCAAATGAAACTTCTTACAAAATTTCCAAAGGCAAAGACAGGAAAATATTGGGATAGATTGTGTGAGCAGACTGTACATTGTTGGAATTATGTGACATGTTAGATAAACATGTGAGGAGTGACCAAGAACTAATTCATGTCTGGAGTGTTGCACCTTCCAGTGCTACCGATAAAAGTAGGAAAATGATTTCAATAAAGATGCATCTTTCTTATGTGCTGTAATAGAAAGGGAAAAATGAATCAGTAAAGGGGAAGGACTGTTTTATGCCTCCAAATTTTACCCTGGTATTGATTTTTTGGACAAGCTTTACTCTGAGTTTCTAGCCGCAGATATAGCCTGGCCATCAATAGCACGGCCCACAACGTAGCTGATGAAGGAAGCTAAGTCCAGTCCAAGCTAGCAGTCTTCCCATGTGATTCTGCCTTCGTTTGGGGATGCTCTGAAGCAAACACAATGTATATGTGTAAGTTGAAGTGAGAGTTTACTGGTAGACTGACCATGGAGACAATAGAATGTTCATTTATATTTTGATCTTTTATATTCACACACTTAACTGAAAAACCACAGCGAGCAGACCAAAAAGTTGAGCAGAAAGAGTTGAAAGAATGTAGTTATCTTTTAACAGAAAATTGTACAGTAAGGGGAAGTGAGGATGAAAGAAATGAAAACAATTTTTTTTTTTTTTGTATGTGAAGGCTGAAAATCCAGAAAGCAAATAGAAAGAATGGCAAATCATAGAATTATAGAATGGCTTGGGTTGGAAGAGACCTCAAAGAGCATCCAATTCCAACCCACTGCAATGAGCAGGCTTGCAAAAGTTAGTGAAAGTATTTTTAGGCTTTTTCTCATTATAGTTTAAGGAATGTGTCCTATTGTATTTCAATTCCTTGAAAACTGAGCATTTTTGAGCTATTATAAAACTGATTGTGCTTAAAATTTATTTTGGAATAGAGAAATGTTGATTTTAAGTCAAAAAATGCAGTACTGGCAAAGTGTATCATATATTTTAGTAAGCTGCACAGTGGGGGGAAGGTCGGTTTTGGCGAGAGCTACGTATGTCTTATATCTTCTGGGATATAAAGCAAGGCATACTAAAATTGTCACTGGGAGAAGAGACGCCAAAGGTATTTGTGACAGGAGGCTGAGCCCCTGCTAGCAGGCAGATTCATGGGTTAGTTAGGAGGTCAGGTTGTAGGCTGTTCAGCACAGGCCTCAGGAGGACTTTTTTCCTCTCTCCTCTCGTCACGCACACAGCTGCTCAGTTAGACAGCATGGTAAGTGCATGCCTACCTCCCTGCTACAGCCTGTGAAGTGGTGGCTATCCATTGTGGGCAGGATGAATCCCAGCCAAAGGCTTTTGGGGAGCAGCAGCAGCTTCTTTGTGTGTTAACTTCGAGGGTTGACCTGACTGAACCTGGGAGCTGGGGATGTGCTTGTTCTCCTGCTGGAAGGGTCTGTTAGGTGACGGGGCCTCTCAGCTCGCTTCTCTGATGGATTCTCTCTCACAGGCAGGAATGGCAAGCCCCGAAAACCCCGAGCAGCTGATCATCGCCCTGGAACCCGAGGCAGCTTCTATCTACTGCCGGAAGCTCCGCCTTCACCAGATGATAGAGCTGAGCAGCAGAGCACCTGTCAATGGCTATAGCCCCAGTGACACCATCGGAACTGGATTTACACAAGGTGCTTATCATAGAATCATTAAAGTTGGAAAAGGCCATTAAGATCATCTAGTGCAACCATCAACCCATCCCCACCTTGCCCACTAAACCGTGTTCTTCTGTGCCATGTTTCCAAGTTTCTTGAAAACCTCCAGGGATGGTGACTCCACCACCTCCCTGAGCATCCTGTCCCATAGCGTTTTCACCACAGTATTTTTCTGCCTTTATTGAAATTAATACTTCATGCTGGATCATTTTACATTTAATCTGTTGAAAACAATTAAGTGTTCAATTAGCTGCATTATTACTGGATCTCAATGAGACTTTCAGTCTGAAGTATTCTTCCAGAGTTTCAGCAGATGCTTTTTGAAGTCATCTTTGTGAAATACCATTATTTACTTTTAACACTTGGAAGAGCACGTGGTAATGGAATACAGCAATGCATTTGTCTTCTCACAGAAGAGAAACTAGATACGGCAATTCTAACTTACTGACCTGTGATCTGCTGCTCATGTTGGTGCTTTAAGACTGACTTGCAGAGATGGGCCCACAGTGTAAGTCACTTGCCAAAAAATCCTTCATCACCAGACACTTAGGCAAGGTTTAGTATCTTGTCTTAGACTGATGGGCAAAAAAAAGAAAATAGTGGACTGCTGTGGTGTATTTGTTACATAACAATTTCCTCTCCGTGTGAATTGCAGTAGTTGCACTGATGTAAGTGTTACTGTGTCAGTTTATCCCAGAGGAGTTTTTCAAAAGAATTTGCATTTCGTCATCATATTTACTAGGCCAAAATGGTACAGGCACATGGAAAATTGAGCCTGTAAAGCTATTCCTGTACTTACCAGATTGCATTTTTTCTTAGTTAGGCAAAGTCATTTCCTTGTTTTCTCCTAGCCACATCACTCCCAGCTAGCACTTGTCGGATGTGCTCAGCTTTAGGGAGGCCTGTGCAGGGCATAGTCCTTTCAAGTGCCCCTCACATTCTCCACCTTGGTCTCATCCTGCACTGTTCCACTTCCATGCACTTTTCCATCAACTTGCTTTCAGGCTGCAGGTGGATTTGCTTCTAAGAAAATAAGTAATAATAATTAAAAAAAAAAAAAAGTTCTGTGTTTGGCAAAGTTTTAAAGCTGGGCTGGGCAGAATCTGGCAGATGTTGGATTTCTGCGAGTGGAAACCATTCTCTTTCTTAATTGTGTAAGGTAAAGGCCATTGGGGATGAGAAAGGTTTATTGTCAAAATTAATGAAAATAAAGTTTGAGGGAATTAATTTGGGGTTAAAATTAAAATTTGATGAAGGCATGGCAGGTACCCAAGACCAGCTGAGAACAGATTAAGGAGGAAAACCATTTAGCTATGAACAGATGCACTCCATGGGCTGTCTTATTGCAGTGAAGTCAAAACAAAAAAAGTTACTGTTTGTTGTAAAGCCAGGTAAAGACTGGCTCTTCCATTTACTTTTAGTTCACAGAAACAAAGTGAAAGGACTCCCATTGACTTCTGTGGACTCTAGGTCCATTGCTTGGACCTCTTGCTTGTTCTGTCTTTGAATGCTGTGTGATTTGAGCTGTTGGTGTATGAGGCTGACAACTTGTCTGCATCATAGGGTGTATGGGTGAAAGCAAAGCCTCTCATCTCCTGATCATAGACACTATAGAAATGAGAACGAAAATGCATTCAACAATTTTCCTACTTCGCATATTGCAGGATGTCTGTCTTCTGTACTATTTTATATAGCACTTTTGAATGAAAGTGAATGAAAGTAATACAGGAAATGACTTGATCATCCAGTTGTACAGACTGATTGAGAAGCTTAATAGCAAAGGCTCCCACTGCTCTACTTTCTCTTTACAGACTGTTTTTCATCTTTTGAATGTCTAAGTAGAAATTAAGTCTTGTAAGCTGAAGTATTGGTGTGAGATTGTGCTTAATTTTTAATTGCTGTAAATTTAAAATATGCTGTGCCAGTGTCCTCCATGTTTCTAATAGGTCAAGTCTTAGTCAAGACATAATTTAATTGCTTATCATGGCAGCACTAGATTCTGCTTTACAGGCTGTCACAACAAACCAGGATTTTCAGAAGTAAAGGCTGAAATAGTCGCTAATCTCTTCAGTCATCTGTCTGAGTTATCAGAGGGTCAGACTTAGTGATCAGTTTGAGACTTGAGAAGTTACCAAGCTGTGAAGCAGTGCTTTTGGCTGCTTACATTGAGGCAGTATGACATCCTGAACGTCTCCAGAGGCCTTGCCCCAGCACACGAAACCAGAAGTTGCTTTTGAAAATCTTGTGTTCCCTGCCTGCCATCACAGCTCAGGTCTGCGGTGGACCAGGGCTGCCACCGTGTGGCAGAGTGTGTGCCTGAACGCGGCTGGCAGCGAGGACAGCTTCCAGCTTGTACTTGGAAGTCAGAATACAGTAACTATGAAGGATTTGCCCATAGCTTTCACACTAAATCGTTGTTTCTAATTCCAGTAGTATGAAGAAAGAACAGAAAATCTGAAAAATGTTTTTTTTTTTGCTCTTTCTAGAAGTAATGTTATAATGTTCCCCAAACCAGTGCAGTGGTTGTTCATTTGTTTTAAGAAGCAGTAAATGAGATCTGTCAGCATACTTGCACCTGTTTTCTGCACCATGTGTTATCAAATTCTTTATGCTTCGTAATGCTCAGTAATTTTCTCTGTCTCTGACTAGCTAAGGAACACGTCCGTCGCAATCGACAGAGTCGCACCTTTTTGGTGGAAAATGTTATAGGAGAAATCTGGTCCGAACTGGAAGAAGGTAGTGTCCTTTCTTGAATAAACTTTGCTTTCACTGGTTGTATAGTACTGACGAACAGAGTGTTTCTCACAAATCTGCACTGTTCTCAGAATGATTATGAGTTGGAAAACAAAGAAATAAAAGAGCATATGCAGCTCTGAGTTGCTAAAGCTAAACTGCAGTTCTGTATAGAAAGTATGGTTTATTAAGGAGATGACAGAGTATAATCCATGTTTCAAAGTACAGCTAGACTTATTTCTTCAGAATAGGCTTTGTGAATATACTGCAGTATTAATTTGGTAACCCCCTAAAGTGGACACTGCTAGCACGAGCAATTCCATTAATCCCTTTTCTTTCTGTGTTAAACCAATATCTTTCTTGATACCTAAATTTTGTGTTTACTATAAATCACTATTAATAAAGATGAAGTTTTCAGAATAGAGATTTATAACTTTGTGGAAGTCGTTTTCTCTCATTGCAATATGTCACTGTGATAATATACATCATGTTTGCCTATTCCTTTGGCAAACCAGGTGACCGTTACATCGTTGTTGACAGTGGAGGAGGCACAGTGGATATGACTGTCCATCAGATCAGGCTCCCTGAAGGACATCTTAAGGAACTGTACAAAGCAACAGGTAGATGGCACTTCCAGTGCTTGCATTTATGCAGTATTCTGTCTGTGGAGAAAATACATGTCTTTACTGATCATGATATTTCACTAACAATTCTTCCTCGAATCAGACCAGTATTCAAAATAATGTAATCTATCTGCTATCTGGACAAGGGTCACTGTCCTGGTCTGCCTTCTTTTAGTAAATTTGTGATCTTCCACTCCTTTAAGAGGTCTCTGACCAGCTATTCTGAGAAGTGCTGTGGAGGTATGAAAAGCCAAGTGTGTCACATCGAGATCCTTGTAAAATTTCCCTAGATCTTAGGGAAGGCTTGTATGTTCCAGTAATTCTGCAGCCAGTGTAACAGAGGTGGTCTGCCATCCTCTGGCAGCAACTCACAATGATAGATCCACAACAATAAGTGCAATAAAATGCAATTGCTTTAATGATACTCCCTTCCTGAACTCCATAATCCCCTCTTTGTCTTTGCTAAGCTGTTAACCCCGTAAGACAGCCTGTGCACTTACTTGAGTTGGCCTTCATCTGTATCGTTCACTGCTGAGTGTCTTCAGTCTTGGTGGCTTTAAGACAACTTTCTGCTGTAGTGTTACAGAGTCTAGGACAATGTAGGTGTAAAAGTGAGGCAAAGGTAAGATCATGTTCTGTATTAGACAGACTGTTTCCAGCGACAGTCCTTGTAGTGTCAATCTGATGTGCATTTGGTCTACTTGAAATCTAATGCCATTTTCAGAATATTAAAGTTGTGTTTTGTTTTTAATACAGGTGGGCCATATGGTTCCCTAGGTGTGGACTATGAATTTGAAAAGCTCCTGTGTAAAATATTTGGAGAAGATTTTATTGAGCAATTTAAAATCAAGCGTCCTGCTGCCTGGGTAGATCTGATGATAGCATTTGAGTCCCGTAAACGGGCAGCAGCTCCAGACAGGACCAATCCACTAAACATCACTCTGCCTTTCTCCTTCATCGATTATTATAAGAAGTTTCGAGGTCACAGTGTAGAACATGCCTTGAGGAAAAGCAAGTGAGTAGATGATTGAACCCAAATAGATGCAGAATTGCCTAGTCTTTAAAAAGACAGGCAATTAAAATATCCTAATCACGTGTAGTCTGAATGACAGTAATGCAAAAGAAGTGTCTGTTTTCAGAATGCAGTGTTTCTCCAAGTATACTGAAACTAACAGAATAATGAGATAGGAAGTGTAAAGATAACATAGAATGTGTATGAATGAGAAGGAAATTCCTAAGCTATATGGGTGTGCATAATGAAATCATATAATGCCTCTATTCAGTTAACAAATATTACAGCTCATTAAAAATACTGTTCTTCTCTCTTTCTCCTGAGACTTCCCATGCTTGCTTGCTTGCTTGCTTGTTTTCCTTGCTTGTTTTCAGTGGCTTTGGCCTGCTGCAGCTATAATCTAAATGCTGCCCTTCTGGGGTTGAATCAGTGCTGTTTCAGATGAGTGAACAGTGCACTGACTGCCAGCTGTTTCAGAGGGCAGATAAACATTGGTAATGCTGCAGGAGGCAATCAGGCAAAGAACACAGCAATTAAACAAGCAAAAATAGCAATTGTCCCTGGAAATTTTATGTTGTTCCATTTGGTGTGGGGCTGAAGTTAGATGAAGTACTTTTTTCCAAGCAAACTGCATAGATTCTATAAACTCATTATTTGTGTGTCATGTCTTATGAGTGCTTGACTGTACTCTGTACTCTCATAATATCCTTTCTAAATGCTTTTATTTATACTTTTCAGTGTGGACTTTGTGAAGTGGTCTTCCCAAGGAATGCTGAGGATGAGCCCAGATGCAATGAATGCACTCTTCAAACCTACAATTGACCAGATTGTTCAACACCTGAGTAAGTATCTGTGTGTAATTCCATTTTCTGACTAAGCTGAGACTGAAGACTGCTATTATGCCCTAAATGTGGGCAAGGAGTTTAGTTCTGAAACATTTGTCCTTTAAAAAGTGATTAGGAAGGTAATTTCAAGTAAGGGACATCGCCTTTAATGCATTTAACTACCTATTTCTAGAGCTAGTTTTTCAGTGTGATTCAATCCTGTTGCTGCCTAAACTGTGTTTCCAGGGCTACAGTCATTCCCTAAAGAGCACTGCTTTAGCCCAGATCCTACTTTCCTTTTTCTTATTTCAGACAAGAACAAAATAATGCCAGAATCATAACTAGTATCTGATTGTTGCTGAAATTAAGACCTGTATTTCATTTCTCATCAGTGGGAGGACTTAAAAAGTCCTATTTTTTGATGACTCTCTGAATCACTGCGATGTCAGGAACGCAATAAATAAATGATGGCTCCTGTTAAAAAATAAAATAAAATAAATTCCAGCCATAGGAATCTTAAGCAGTAATAGATTTATTTATCTGGCAATGAAAAATGACACAGGTTTATTGGGAAATCTGTTATTTAAACTCTCTTTCATGAAAGATTGGATTTGTGTTGAGTATAATACATATGCTGAGTGAAGTATTGCTGTTCTACTCATTACAAAGTGCTAATCAAATTGTATTTGGAATAGAATATCCAGCTTAGCACACATGCTGTGTGAGGACTTGTTAAGTGGAATTGAGAGACCACAACTTAGTAGGACAACTAGGACAGAATAGCTTCCGTGTGAGCAGGGAGGGAGAGGCCACACATTAATTGTGACAGATACCTTAGTTGTGCTGCGGCAGTTATTTGAACTGACTGTGGATGAGCCTACAACAGAACTGTCTGATTTTCCTCAATGTGGGAGATTTCTTTGCAAAAAATCTGTCTCCCTTCGCTGGTACAAGCCAAATAAAAATTCTGTTTAGAAAGCATAAATGCTACCTCAGAAATGTCATCTGCTTTGAAGCAAGTTTTCATTCACAGTCATTGCTCCATTGAAACAGAATGTAGTAAGAAACCTCAGAAGTGGAACTGATGCATGTTGAGAGCAGCAGTGGGGGCGCAGATGTGAGTGTTTCAGATTTTATGCATGCACATGGAACATGGATGCGTCAGGCATTTGGAGTTTCAAATGAATTGCTTTGCCACTGAATTTTTCCCTATTGAATGGGCTCTGTTTCTGTATAGGTGATGTGTTCGATAAGCCAGAAGTGACCAATGTCAAGTTTCTGTTCCTGGTGGGTGGCTTCGCTGAATCCCCTTTACTCCAGCAAGCTGTCCAGAGCGCTTTTGGTTCCAGATGTCGAGTCATCATTCCTCAGGATGTGGGGCTCACTATCCTCAAAGGAGCTGTTCTCTTTGGTCTAGACCCTGCTGTCATCAAAGTGCGGCGTTCGCCTCTCACCTATGGTGTGGGTGTGCTGAATCGGTTTGTGGAAGGGAAGCATCCACCGGAGAAGCTGCTAATCAAAGATGGCACGCGTTGGTGCACTGATGTCTTTGACAAATTTATCTCCGCCGACCAATCTGTCGCCCTTGGAGAAACTGTGACACGCAGTTACACACCTGCCAAACCTTCTCAGTTAGTAATAGTGATCAATATCTATAGCTCAGAACAAGATAATGTCAGCTTCATCACTGAATCTGGAGTGAAAAAGTGTGGCACCCTTCGCCTGGATCTCACAGGAACTGATGCTTCCGTGCCAAACAGACGGGAGATCAAAACACTTATGCAGTTTGGGGACACTGAGATCAAAGCCATGGCCATTGATGTTGCCACCTCTAAAAGTGTCAAAGTTGGTATTGATTTCTTAAACTACTAACAGATCATTTGCCCCACCATGGCCTGTTTGTGAGACTCATCGTCCAGTATTCCATTTTTTGACTTTCATGTGTCACGTAATCATCTTGAATTTCAGCAGGCTATATGAGAACAGCTAATAAGGTGGGGTATGTCATGCTTGTGCCCTTGAAGGACCAAAGGCTGGATTTTAAAAGACCCTTAAAAAGTTTGAGGAGGAAAAGTTCCAGAAGTAGTAGAAGTTATTTAGTTGTTCAAGCATGTGTAAAGATCTGCCTTTACTAAGTATTATTATTGCATCCTGAAGATTGGTTAAGAAATATAACATCATTATCTCTTTGCCTTGCTCTTGTTCTTCTTCCCTCTTCCTCCCAAGACACATTTGCTAGTCCAGGTGGTTGATGTAGGGGGGTATCTGTATGGCTTGTCTTTCTGAAACAGCACCATCCTCTGAGCGTGGAAACAAGTTACAGCTTTCTTTTTGTTTTTGGCCTGTACTTTCAAAAATGTAAGTGCTGAAAATCAGGAACGAGAAGAAGTAGGAAGTGTCTTCACTTCTGAGATCACACTGAAAAGAAAATCCTTAGAAATCCTTAAAAGTAGATTTAGGAAACATACATATTTTAGTAGCCTAATGTCGGTTGCCCAAGCTTGAGAAGAAGGCCTTTCTTGTCAAGCTCTTTGAACTAGCTATTGGATTAAAGAGCTAACATTGCCCTCGTACTTCAGAAATTTAATAAGAGCAAAGTTATTTCCCTTTTTAGGTCTTAAAAACTTACATTTATTAGTTTTCTTTCAGAATCACTGAACAGATGAAGTTGGAAGGGATTTCTGAAAATTATCTGGTCCAACCCCTAAGCCCTAATAAGCTCTAAGCTAGAACAGGATGCTCTGTCCTTTCAGACTGTGAATGTCTTCAAAGGTGGAGATGCCTAAACTTCTTGGGGCAATCTATTCCAGCCTTTGACAGTGCTCACTGTAAAAAGCAAAAAACAAAAAAACAAACACAAACAAACAAGAAAGAGCAACAAAGAACCACATGTTTTTAAAAGCATTTTCTTGTATTTTAATTTGTGCCCATTGCCTCTTGTCCTTTTGCTGAAAACTGCTGAGAAGTCTTGCTCCATTTTCTTTACTGTCTTCTGTGAGACTTTTATATGCATTCCTGATTGCTCCACAAGCATGCTCTTCTGGAGTCTGAAGTCCTAGATCTCTCAGCCTCTCTCCTCTTACAACTGATGCTCTGATCCCTTCATCTGATGCCTTGACAAATGCAACCCACAAGTCCTTGTTGCTTGTACTGAGAAGCACAGAACTGGATGCCAAATGTGGTCTCACCAGGTCTTAATAGAGAAGAATATTCACCTTCCTTATCCTGCTGGCAGTCCTTGTGCAGTCCAGCTGTTGGCATTCTTTCTCTCAAGGGTACGTTACTGGCTCATGAAGACTCTGTGTCCACCAAGACCCTGAGGTCTTTTTCTGCGTAGATGCTTCCCAGCCAGTTGACCCCCAGCATATACTGGTGTATGGAGTTACTCCTTCAAAGCTTTAAGACTTTGCACTTCTCTCATAGTCATATTTTTTTTCTTGTTAATTCCTGTATTTGGAAGTACAGTTACATGATGGCTGTCCAGGAGGATAAACTGATAACTTCAGTTTTAAATCCACTCCTAGCTAGCAGACTGATGCTAACCTGAATAACCATTAAATGCTGATGCTTTCAGAGCATTTATATAGAGCTGTCTGATTACCTGCTGGAATTCATTATATTTTTGGAACTTGCAATTTTAATTCTTAAACTAAACCTTCCTTTCTAATAAGTTGAGCATGAGTTCTGTCAGTTACTGACACTTTTGGGAAATGAAAGCTTTATCAATGTTTTCACTGATTTACATTCCAATCCTGCACTTAAGCTTTCTGTGTTTATCCTGGAGATCTGCCACTGTCAAGAGCTGCAGAACTGGTCTGCTGCATTTGCCATTGAGTTTTCTGTGTCTGTTGCAGAATTCCCTAGTAGAATATGAAATCTGTTCTGCATTCAGCTTTAAAAAAAAAAAAATAAAGAAAGAAAAGAAAAAAAAAAAAAGAAAAAAAAAAAAGAGAAGAAGAAAAAGAAAATAAAAGGACTATGGAGAATGGAGTCACAGTATCCGGCTGGATACTTTCCTATAATTACAAAGTGTGCTTTCTAGCGTTCAATTTCCTGCTGCCTGCTAAATGCTTTAAAAGCTAAATACTGGGATTTTTTGTGTATTGCTTTCCATGGTTTACAAACAGGAGAAACTTTAAGATGAGTTATGAACAATATAATTTTATGTATATACAATATTTAAATATTGTACAGACTCTTTCTTTCTACAGTGCTATTTTCTTGTATAAAAATGCTCTTTGCCTCTGTTGATTTCATTCAGCTGTTAATTTTAAATAACATAGTTTCTCAATCAGCTTCCATAATTATAGGCTTTTAAAGATGGTAAGATATGAAATGTAAAAGGCTGATCTTATAATAATAGGAAAGAAATGTTGATGTGTCAGAAAATACAACATTCTTCCTGCAATGCAAGTCACACCAGTTAAGCATATTACACAGATGCACTTGTATTTTGCTGGGATTTCATTTCTTTGTTTCAGATGGTGACCATTCCAGCAGTTCATCATAATAATGGATGAATCCTCCTGTAAAACAAAGTTCTATTTAGCTTGTATGATCTGAATATACAGCTTCTTCTCTAGGTTTTGGAGTTTTACTAAGGATCTTTTCCAGTTACAAAAAAAATTATATATATACAGTTATATTGTTATATATATATATAACAAAAAAAATTATATATAT